ACAGCTCAGAGCAGAACAGAATGCACGCCCAGAGCAGACCCAACTGCACGGCCCAGAACAGAACTGGCCACACAACCCAGAACAGATCCGAGTGCACAGCCCAGATCAGAACCCGACTGCACAGCCCAGAACAGAATCGAGCGCACTGCCCAGAACAGAAATGAGTGCACGGCCCAGAACAGAACTGATCGCACATTCCAGAAAAGAACCAAGTGTATGGCCCAGAGAAGAACCAAGTACACAGCCTAGAGCAGAACCGAGTGCACTGCCCAGAGCAGAACCTCATGTACAGCCCAGAACAGAACCGAGTGCACGGCCCAGGGCACAACCGAGTGTACGGCCCAGGGCACAACCGAGTGCACGGTCTAGAACAGAACCAAGTGCACAGCCCAGAGCAGAACTGATGGAATTTTTCCCCTACGACTGGAGGCAGATGATGGGTCAGAGGCCTCTGCTGATTTTGAGGGACCCTGAGGTGGGGGCTTAGGGCACTGAGGCACCTTCAAGTTCCCTCTCTGCCTATTCTTCCTTGTCCCCCAGCCCCCATTCCAGGTCTGAGTTGGAAGTTCCTCCCTTATGCTTCCACCCTGACTCTGGAGTGACCCTGACCCTGACCCACCACTGCTGGTCGGAGCCCAGGGCCGATCCCTTGGCTCAGGGGCTCCAGAGAGATGCACCCAACAGAGAAATCAGAACCAGCTCACGGCCTCCACATTCCACTAACACGACTCCTTATTGTTGCCTCCTCCCTGCTTCTTGTACCTGGTAAACTGCTTATATTCTGCATTCAGATCCTGTCCTCAAATTTAAAAGGAGAACCTAAAATGTAGGAGAGAGAGAAAGACTTACCTTGTTTATTAATGTTTTCCAGGCATTGTCTTAATTGCTCAATAGCTGTTCAGTACTACCCCTAGTCATGAGCAAGAGGAGCCTGAGAAATAATACATTTATTAAAAACCACATCAGTAGTTCTGCCTATGGGTTTGATGCTCAGGGGCCACACAGCATGAGCTGTGAGTGTGAACACCTGCTCCCTCAGTCACACTGTGCAGGCCCCAGGGTGCTTCTCCACGTCTTTGCTCTCTGGCCTGGAGCTACAGGTGCCTGTGTCCTGTTGATATGAATGTTTGTGGTTGTGCCGTTGTGACATCAGATGGACCAGGGAGGACTGAAGCAGCCGAAGAGCTTAGAAGAGAAAAGTCAACTTCAATGTAGAACCCACTTCAGAATATCCCACTGGAGAAGTGAGGGATGTTCTCACCTCCCCTTAGTCTTCAGATACTCCCACGGCCATTAAACCCCAGCTCTTGTGGCCGGCCCCAGTGGCAGGCTGAGAAAACCTCACATGGAGAGTTTTAAGAGCTTGCAGTAGGCTGCATCAAACGAACAAACAAACAAACAAGAAAAAGAAAAATCAACTTAACTTTCAAATACTTTCATTCAAAGAGCACAAATGCAGTAGATTCTCTCATAAGGAAGACTCACTTGCCAGCAGGGCTTGTGTCATTTTGTGTGTGATATTCCCAACAGCTACACATGCAGCAGAGCGGAACACTGCACTGTTAAAGCAGTCATATTCCTGGGCTGTGTGGTTGGTGTGTGTGTATGAAGGTGCAGATGTAAAATGCATGAAACATGATCCACATTTTTCAAGAGAAACCTGAGGCTAAAAGAGGTTGAGTAACTTGTTTCATAAAGCGCATTCAAGGTAGAGCTGCAGCTCAAAACCATTCCTCTCACAGCTCTGCTCTTCCCACCACGGCTTCAGGCTCCTCATTGTTTAAGATAATAGAAGGTTTCTTCACTGATACAGCTCCCAGGGCAGTTGAAACTAAAGAGAAAATGGACAAATGGGACTACATCAAAATAAAAAGCTTCTGCATAGCAAAAGAAACCATCAACAAAACAACAAGAAAACCCACTGCGTGGGAAAACATATTTGCCAATGTCATATCTGATAAGGGCCTTATCTCCAAAATTTATAGGGAACTCATACAACTTAACAAAAGGAAGATAAACAATCCAATCAAAAAATGGGCAAAGGATCTAAATAGACACCTTTCAAAAGAGGACATTCAGAAAGCCAAGAGACATATGAAAACATGCTCAAAGTCACTCATCATCCGAGAGATGCAAATCAAAACAACAATGAGGTACCATCTCACACCTGTCAGACTGGCTATCATCAACAAATCAACAAACGACAAGTGCTGGAGAGGATGTGGAGAAAAAGGAACACTTGTGCACTGCTGGTGGGAATGCAGACTGGTGCAGCCACTATGGAAGACAGTATGGAGTTTCCTCAAAAAACAAAAAATGGAACTCCCATTTGACCCTGTGATCCCACTTCTAGGAATATATCCCAAGAAACCAGAAACACCAATCAGAAAGGATATATGCACCCCTATGTTCATAGCAGCACAATTCACCATAGCTAAGATCTGGAAACAGCCTAAGTGCCCATCAGTAGATGAATGGATTAGAAAACAGTGGTACATCTACACGATGGAATACTATGCTGCTGTAAAAAAGAAGGAACTCTTACAATTTGCAACGGCATGGATGGAGCTTGAGAGCATTATGCTAAGTGAAATAAGCCAGTCAATGAAGGAAAAATACCACATGATCTCACTCATTCATGGAAAATAGAGACCATTATAAACTTTTGAACAATAATAGATACAGAGGCAGAGCTGCCTCACACAGATTGTCAAACTGCAGCGGGAAGGCCGGGGAGGGTTGGGGGGCAGGAGGGAGGGGGGTAAGAGATCAACCGAAGGACTTGTCTGCATGCATATGAGCATAACCAATGGACATAAGACACTGGGGGGTAGGGGAAGCTGGGGTATTGTCAAGGGCGGGGAAAAAAAAGGACACATATGTAATACCCTTTAAGCAATAAAATAAATAAACAAATAAAATGAACTATGTTTCTTGGCCTCCGCAGTGAATGCAGAAATGGGCCTATGATGTAGCTTCTGGTGACAGATAGTTACTATGTTTGAGGTGAACCACGTGCAGTGTCCAAGTATTCGAGGGAAGGTGGGTTCTCCCTGAATTTCCACCAGGAAGGAGTCCCCAAGCTTAAGCTTCCACCAGAGGGAACAGAGGACGTCCCTGGGGAGTCTTCCTACCATAACCCTGACTCATATTAACAGCTGCTTCTTCATCACAACATCTACCCACATCATGCCAGGGGGTTCAGATGAAGGGCTGGGTGGAGTTGCTTGCTTCTTCCTAAACTAAAAAGGCCGGCGCGGCTGCCCTTGTGTGTGCCCGGAAGGGGAACATTGCCGAAATTCCCGAGATATGTCAGAATGCGTGACGAGTTCCGGCACGAGGGTGGCAAAATTTCACAC